CACCGTCGGGGGGCTGGCGGGTGGGGAGTCCAAGGACGACTTCTGGCGGGTGGTGTCCCAGTGTACGGCAGGTCTTCCCGCCGGCAAACCCCGCTACGTGATGGGGATTGGCTACCCTCTGGACATTGTCGTGTGTTCGGCGCTGGGGGCGGACATGTTCGATTCGGTGTACCCTACCCGGACTGCCCGATTTGGTGTGACACTAGTGCCCGAGGTGGGAGGGGTGGGTGGGGTGGGGAGAGGCCCCTCTCATGCGGGCAGCTCGCGGCGTCATCACCATCATGAACCGAACCTTTCCCCCCACCCTCCCCTTCCCTTGGAAGCCCAACAGGTCCCAAACCTGCCCTCCTGCGGCTGCTACTGCTGCTACTGCTGCTATTGACAGTTAAAGGTTTATAATCTTACACCACTCGCACCGTCCCAGCACCTTCTCCCCCTCACCTCCCTCACCTCCCTCACCGCCCCTCAGGGTACTCTCAAGCTCAAGAACTCCATTTATGCGCGGGACTTCCGGCCCCTGGACCCCGGCTGTAGCTGCATGGTGTGTCAGCGCTACAGCCGGGCCTACCTGCACAATGTGGTGACCCGGGGGGCCATATCCTCCGCCGCCATACTGGTGACGTACCATAACGTGGCGTATACTCAGTCACTGACACGAGGCATGAGGCAGGCCATCGAGGTAGAGGGGAGAAAAGGGGGGAGGGGGTAGCCGAAGGAGTCGTTTTGGGCCCTAGGATGGTGGTGGTGGTGGTGGTGGTGATTATGTGTCGGGCAGGGAAGGGATTGTTGCCAGCGGTGGGGTTGCGGTCCTCTCACCACCTCCTCCCGGGGTTGCCTCACCGGGTGGCCAGACCGGGAAGGTTTGTGTATGAGTCCCTCTCCTCCCCACCTGCCCTTACGTCCCCCCCCTTCAGGAGCAGCGCTTCCCCGAGTGGGTTCGGAACTACTTGAAGACCATGTTTCCCAAGGTGTGTGTGTGTATGGGGTTCGGCCGTACGGGTGGATGTTTGAAGGGGGGAGTGGAGGGCTGGATGGGGGGTGTCTGTGTGCGGGGGAGGGAGCGGGTGCCGGTAGCCGGGAGTGTAGTGTGTGGATGTTCTTTTGGGGGGATAGGATGGGGTGTTTTGGACGGCGAGGGGTCCCAACCTAGGAGGAGGAGGGGGAGGAGGAGGACGACGGGGGCAGGAGGACGGAAAGGGTCTGAATAAACGGTGGCGTCTCTCACCATCCCCCCTTCCCCCTCCTCCCCCTCCTCCTCCTCTCCACGACGCTCCCTGAGGCGCTTCGACAGCATGCTCCCTTCATCACGACCTCTTCCTCAGAGTGGAACGCGGTCACACAGCGTCACAACACCGCCAACAGCCCCCTTCCACATCTCCCGCCACCGCCAACCTCGACGAATCCTGACCTTCATTCCCGCCACTGCCTTCGCACCCCATCCCCCTCCTCCACCCCCCTATCCCCTGCCCCCTACCACCCACCGATGTGCCCACAGGGCGATGTCCCCGGCTGGGTGCGGGACGCCATGGCGGCTGCGGACGTCAGTTTGGAGGGGGTGGTGGCGGAGGACCTACCATCACCACCACCGTCAACAGCTCTTGCTGCTGCTGCTGCTGCTGCTACAGCTGCTGCTGCTCCCTCCCCCGCCCCACCGGCCGAGCAGTAGCAGCAGCAGCTGTAGTGTTTGTAGTGGGGCTGTCGACCTCGGGAAACTGTGTGGGCGGGAGGAGGTGACGCGTATGTGACATAACGTGACGTGGTTGTTTAAGCAGCGAGTGTGTGAGCACAGAACGCGTCACACCGGGTGTGGTTGGGTTTGGCCGTGTCGCGTCGTGTCGGATGGGTCGTGTCCGGGGCTGTCTACCCGGGGAGGATGAGGATGGGCTCTATGACGTGCTCGACATGCTGGCGAGGTTTTCAGGTGGGTCGGTGTGTTCGGAGTGCTTCTTTGAGGAGAACGATAGGGCGGCGGGAGAGGAGGAAGGGAGGGGAGGGCAGGGGCGCTGAGACGGGAGATTGCAGGGCACGGATGGAGCTGTGAAGCTGCCAACGGGGTTCTTCTGCATGTACGGGATGAATCGTACAACATGGGGCGCATGGAAAGAAGTAGGCGAATCAGGAATAGAACGGTTTGTGCGTGTGTGTGTGTGTGTGCGTGTGTGTTGCATGGCCGCAGGATTAGGCTGATGACATCCAACCAATTATGGTACCTACAACAATGCGCCCATACACGACCAGATAGAACATGTGGGCGGGGAACTGAAGTGCTGAACCCAGAACGGTGACGTAGCTGAAGGGGGGTATTGCAGACAAAAGCCCGAGCGGAGAGCCTCCGTGCCGGCGAGGTGCTGCCGTTACGGTGCCGTACGGTGCTGCCGTTACGCCGATGTAAGTTTCTGTGGTGATGCTTCAGACGTGTATGAAGAAGGCCGCGGCAATGGAGGAGGGGGGAAAGGGGGAGGGTCCGGTCGCGATGGGAATCCCCTGTCGTCTCAGTAAAGCCGTCCTGACGAAAGCCGTCCTGATGTATAGCCACGTGTTGTTGATGCACTGCACATGGCGCATGTTGTGAACGGATTGCTGTAACTGCGGCCTGCCGGTGTAGATCCATATCCGTCAGTCTGTTTGTCTGTATGTCTGTCTTCCCTCAGTCTTGTTTGGCCTCTCCCTATGTTGCGGAGGCAGGGTGAGAACTCTGCTGTGCGACGTGCGACCAGTCCTCTCACTGCAACAGGTAGGGGGTAGAGTAAGACTGCGAATGTGCGGTGCACATACCCCACCCCGGTGGCTGTGCTGCCCCCGCTTGCTGCACAAGGGGCGAGTCCGTTTCGGCGCCGAGGGAGCTGATACCCTCTGACTTTGCCAAAGGGACATTGGTCGCACCTGGTACAGGTGGCTTCAGCGCAATGCCGTTTGTCATTGGCGTGCTGCAGCGACGGTGCCTAGGTTGTCACTTCACAGTTCGCGACGGGTGCGGGAGGCAGATGCTGCAAGCACATTGGCCGGGCACATCAAGATGAGAGCGGATGAGTATTGCGGCCATCCTGCGTGTAGCTTTGTAACAGCAGCAAGGATGGCGCCAACAGCCGTGGCACTGAGTGGCAGGTGAGCGAGGCTCATTCCCGCACCCACCCACCCACCCCGCCCCTAAATAGACCCCCTCTTCCCCCTCACGAAGTCGTTGACACCGAGATGCCAACCGATATGTACAACACCGCCTCGCGAGGCCAGGATTGGCAATATGGCCATTGCCATAATCCATCTTCAAGCCCAATTCATCCGTGCTGTTTGGCAAACAGAAGAAACATGTCCAGAGCAACCTCATACACTCGCCGAAACAGAAAAGCTTCACCACCGAGCCCAATCCAACACCCGACCCTACTTTCCTTGGCCGCCCAAGACCTGCACAACCGACTAAATCAAGAAACCATCGTCATCGCCTGCCGCGCTCTCTATCCCGACCAACCCCTAATATCTACAGCCCAGTCCAGCCCAGGCATCCCAGCGCCTGGCTAACCACTAGCTACACGTGCCCTCCCCCTCTCTCTTCCTCCCTCCCCCCCTCCCACACACACACTGCCAAGACATCAAAACGGTCCCGACACTGTCTGCTCGCTCTGACGGAACTCGCGCAGGATGACGGGGACCGAGGTGGGGGGCACCATGCCGAACTCCGTAACCACCATGGTCACGTACTCGGCAGGCATCAGGTCGTACTTGAGGTTCAGCAGTCGCAGCCGCGGGTGCTCGCTCCAACCCTGCAGCAGTAGCAGTGCCGTGCCATGCCCCGATTAACGGTGTCTTATTGCGTTTGGAGGACCAACAGGCAAAATTGCCGGGGCCCAGGGACATTAAGAAACCATGTCTAGGTAGACGTGGCTATGACCCACCGCCTCTAATGCCTAGTGCCGCAATCATTTCCCATCTCGACTGGTCGCCCACCGTAATCGTTAATGCACACGTGGCACTCGGCACCATGGTGGCAAACACACACATTCACACACCGGCGTAGCTCAAGTTGGTAGAGCACCGGGCTGGATAATCAGCAAAACATCTGGAGTTCAAATCCCAGAAACGGTAGCTAGCTTTATGGGAAGATGTGGGTTCGGATCCCGCCGCTGGTCATCCCCCCACCCGGGTGAAACGGATCGGGGTGTCGAATGCTGCTGGAGCCACCGGTGCCAACCGCCACCTTGCGAATCCTGCCGCCCGGTAACATTATCCAACCACCATCTGGTATACAGCCTGGTCCAGGCCCTATGCAGAACTATTCCTCCGCCACTGTTCCGTGGCAGTGTATAGGTCTTCATATCGGGCTCCCACTCCTCCCTCCTGCCGCCCGGCGCACTGGGGGACCCCGGTGTGAGTGCATTGGTAGATCGCGCAGCTGTAGAGGATGCCCTCGGTGGAACGGAGGTTGCTTGGCATCTGAGCTACTGGCGTATGTAGCTGGCTTATAGGATTCGAACAGACGACGGCGCCTTGCGTTAAGGGAGAACGGTTACGACTCCGACCGATACAACGCCCCTTTCATGATGGAGCGCTTCGGCGGTGTTTCTCCTTGGCCAGCGTCAGGCCGGAATCGATGTGTAACAGAAATACACACACTCTTTCTCATACACACATAACACACACACACTCACTCGCTCACACACAAGCGCATACACTCTCGCCAGCTCCCCCCGGCGCCCCTCACCCACGTACGTACGGGCGTACCTCCAGTGCCGTGACCTCAGGCTTTCCCGACACCACCGCCAGGGCCTCCGGATCGCCCAGCTCGTTGTGCGTGATGCTGTCCAGCTGCACCCGCTCGTTGAACTTGTGCGTCTCGCAGCAAATCATGACCGGCTTGCTGTGCGCGTGCGCCATCATTGCCACCGCCGCAGTGCCGGCTCGCGACAGGACGGTGCCGTTGGACAGCACAGCCGCGGCGCCCAGGAACACCTGTCAATCACACCATCACCATCAACACGGGGCCCCGGGGAGGCACGCGCGCGACCTCTTGACACTTAACATCAACCTAATGCAGGAGTCACCTTGTTTGCATGGCGGCGGCAACAGCTAGCTTTGCACCGCACAGCACGACCCACCAACTGGCTGGCCCCACCACCCTTCCACATAGCATGGGATAGAGGAGGAACCTAACCACACCACCATAGAAGCTGTATTTGGGCTCTGCATTTCAAAGTCTCAATCTATTCCGGATTGTGCTTGTTTGCAAAATCTGGAAGCAAAACTGCTTTGCTTTACAAACTAAGTTAATAGGATTATACTTTTTTCTGCATTCTCTTTCTCTCCCTGTACCGGGTGGTTCCAGTTGATTCCACAAGAAGTACTTCTTGTTGCGCAGCAGCAACGGCAGCACCCGCCAGGGGCCTCTCAAGAGGCCTCAGGGAGGACTGCGGGGCCCCCGGGCCGCCGCCGCCATGACGACGTGCAACCCACACCCACACCCACACCCACAGCCGCACACACCTTGGTGACCTCCCTGATAATGTACGAGGCGGCGTTCAGGTGGACGTAGGTGCAGGGGATGCCAGCCGCCATGAGCCGAGCAAGAGTGGCCCGGCCCTCCAGCTCCGGTCGCGAGTCCATCACCACAACCCGGAAGGACTTGCCCGCCCCGGCCGCCTCCACCAGCGCCCGCTGCACCACGTGTGAGGCGGCGTAGGTGAGGATGACGTCTCCTTGTGCCTCCACCTTGGCCACCGCGTAGCTGACCAGCTGCTTGTCCGCGCTGTCGATACGGGCGTTTATGTAGTCCGCAATCTCCTGTCACGGCAGGGGGACCAACGCAAGGCAAGGCAGGTTTTTCCTATGCAAGGAGGGTTGCAGGCTGCCGTGGGATACACAGGACACAAGAGGAGGATGCCACACAAGGGGGGTCGAACCCGCACCTTGTTGTGCAACTGGAACATGCTGCGAACGTTCTAATGCGCATCGGACGCGGTTCGCTTGGGCTGCGGTCGTGGAAGATTTCTCACACACCAGATAGACAGAGATTCCTTGAACTTCTCGACACACCATCCCCACGCCATGGTCCGGTCCTTCAGGACAGTCCACCCAGCGTAGAACGGCAGGAGTGCAGCGGCACTCCTCCCCCCCTTCCCCCCCCCGGGAAACGCTAAAAAGAACATACTACATAACAAAAAGGGAGAGGGTAATAGGAAATAAAATTGCGAAGTATTTTGGCATTGATTCATATCTGGATGCAAAGAACTCGACTAGAGCCCCCTGAATGCGCACGTTCCTCCACCGGCCGCACCGCCCACAGAGCTCCCCTCCCTCGTCGCGGCCTCCGCCATCCCCGCCTGCCACCCACCTGCTCCAGCAACTCCTTGGCCTCGCCCTCGGGCATGTCGGGCGAGATTGTGGAGATGCGCAGCTTGAGGTGGCGGATGGCGTTGCCCATGCCCACACTCAGCGGCCGACACACCACCAGAAAGTTGACGTGGTCGTTCAGGTGGCGCAGCAGGTCGCGGGGCAGCTCCTTGCCCTCGGGGGTGGTGTAGTCGCGAATTACCTGGTGCGATCAGTGGGTAAGGGGGGGCCCAGCCACGGTGTGACGGTTTGCATCGGAGGTTTCAACAGGCCAGGCGGGATGGCGCGGGTCCCCAAGGGCTCTCATATGGTGCAAACATGGTGGAAAAAATGTAGACCCGGTTCAGGTCGCAAGGCAAGTCGAGGCCTCCATGGCGCAGTGAGGACTTGCCACTCAGTGCCAAGCTCCCTGGTGTCGCCCCGTCCTATTGTCATTGTTCCCCAGGCCTAACCCACGCAGCCCGACCCAACCATCACGAATCCCCCTCCGCCCTATGATGGTGAACCACACAGTGCCGTAGGTACGATACAGCGCTGGCACTCCCGTCTCCTTTAGTGTAGCCTACGCCCATCGTCTCTTCTTCCAAAGTCCGAGCTACCCTCCCCCTCCCCTTCTACCACCTGCCCTTCTAGCTGCTGCTGCTGCCGCTCACCTGGCACAGCGCATTGAGCATCGCCAGGCAGCGCGCGTTCGCGCCGCGGATGGAGCCATCCGCGTACCGCATTCCGAGCTGCAGTATGGCTGGGTGGATGTTGCCGATGGCAGGCTGCTGCAGCAGGCTGGACACCGTGGTCCGCTTGTACTGCTGAAGGTGCGCAAAGAGCTCCGTCGAGCTGAGCGACACGGCCTTGGGGTCCTTCTTCTTCTTGGGCGCCGCCGCTCCGGCTCCGGAACTGTCCCGGTCGACAGCCCCCGACGCCGACGCCGAGTTGGGACCGGATCCCGCACCTCCCCCCGCGCTATCCGTGCGACGCTCGGGTTCGGACCTGGGGCGACAAAGGCACGAGCCGCCCGAGCGGCAGATGGTGGGACTGCGGCTTTGCAGTTGAACTAATCTCCACCTTCAATAGAAACGTCAGCTTAACGAGCTGATACTTCTGGCGCCGGCGCGTGCGCGGTGAAGTGCTGAATATGCCCCAATGGTAGGCATCCACAGGAGGGAGAGAAACATGTAGAGCAATAACCCCCCGGTGCTTCGGCCCCTCGTTAACATTATCCAGGGAGCGGATGTGACAATGGCCCAAGTCCCAGTCAGGCCCCAGCGCACCTTCCAGCGGCAGCTGCTGCCGAGGGTTTGCCGCTGCTTGGCCTGGCCTCCGCCACCCCTGCGCCTCCACGGCCGCCCCTTCCCGCCTCCCCAGCTGCCGCTGCTCCCTTAGACGGCTTGTTGTCCACGACTGGCGCCCCAGTCCCGGCCTTCTGTGCGGCCTTGGCCGCCCGCTGGCTCTCCTGCAGCGCCCGCCGTTCCGCCTTGGTCATCTCGCGCTGGGGCTTGGGCCCCTTGGGTGCGCCATCCCCCGGCAGTGCGCCGCCTTGGGCGCCGTGGTGGCCCTGCCCAGCATGCTGCCCCGCCGGCATGGACGCGGCCCCACCGCCGCCGTGCCCGGCAAAGGGCGTCGACTGGGGTGTAGCTGCAGGCGGCGTGCGAGAGGTGGACGCCTCCAGGGAAAATAGGCCTGTGCGGGGGAGAGCGCAGGGCCGCCACCAGTCGCAGGGGCTCAGGGACCGGGAACACGCCGATAGCGCAATAGCGGCAGACTCTTATCTGTGCAGCCTGCGATCCATCCTCCGTGCATGATATTCACTCCCACAGGCGTTGCGCACGAATGAATGTCGCATGAAGGGATTGCCGGCCTGCGACATTCATTCGTGCACAACACCTGTGCACATTCAAAGGCCGGCGATGCCGACACCTCCACACCCCCACATCAAGGTGCCCGGGACAGTTAGTCAACGCGCCCAGCAGGTCGCCTGCCTTTACGCCCGACCCACACAAAAGAAAGCCAGACCCTGAGGAGCTCCCCGCGGTGTCGCAGCCCCCCACCAGCTCTCATCCTCACCCGAGGATATGGACGCCTCCGAGTTCATGCTGGCCTGCGAGGCCACCTTGATCAGCCCCTGGTGGGAGGCCTCCGCCTTCTCAGCATGCTGGATGGGGCGAGGGGCGGACGTGGGCTGCACGGCCCGAACTGCTGCTGGCCCCGGAGCTGCAGGCAAGGTCACTTAGTTTGTTAGTCAGTTAGTTAGTTGGAACAGTGCGGTGCGGCAGCAGCATCTGAAGCGCGGTTTATTGGTGGCGTCATGGCTTGCCCGGGCATTGTTATTCAGGCTATTGATGGGTGCAAAGAAAGCCCCCCCGCCCGCGCCACAAGGGTTTTCGTCGTGTTATGCAAGCGCCCAACGCAATGGCGGCGAGGTTGGTTGGCGTTTTTGATATCACCGGCGAAGAGGACATAGATTCAGTATGGAAAGCCTGACTGTTCACGACTGACCTTCCCCTGCTGCGTGTGGGCCACCTGCTCCTGGCCCTGCCTGCGACGTCGTGGTTGTACCAGACGTGTCCTGCGGTGCATGCCCAGATGCACCAGCAACAAGAACGTTCACCACCGCTGGCACAAGCGTACGATACAGCAGTTGTCCCCCCTTATGGACCATTAAACTGGCCTTTGCCGTACCAGAGCGCGAACAGGAACATCGGGGGCTGCAGTAGCGCGTGATCCATGCGACGGTTCCCTCTGCAGAGAATACCCACGCACCAGGTTAAGAGGCCGCAACCCAGGTTTAACGGTTAACTCAAGGCAAAACATGCCCTTCAAACCGTATTATTTTACAGACCTGGAATGACGGTGGAATGATAACAGGCGTAGGTGAGCCGGCCGTCATTGAAGCTTGGAGCAAGGACGGCTGGGTTGGGGATGGCGAGGCACCTTCCACATGGAATCCTACGACCTGCTTTACAGGTTGTTGCTGAAAGCCCGTCATAATCCCAAGCTCCTGGCCACTAGGAGCTCAACCCCAAGCCTGAACTCGGTCGGCGCCGCACAACCTGCTTTCCTTTGGTTAATTTTAGTTGAAATAATCCGGAGCAAAATATCTGCATAACCGAACCCGTTATGAATGCTTCGCAAAGGCAAGAATATTTCTTACCTCTATCCCGTACTATCGGCCAAGCTTTTTGCATGGCGATAGGACATGTCATTCTACAAACTACCATTGACACGATACATGCTTCAGGTCTCCCGATAGTCGATGTCAAAGTAAAGCTGCTGCAACTAGTCGATCCCCGCCTTTCCTGAGAGAACTTCGTTTCGCTTGTAACTTCAAATACCATCATGTCCTCTATGCTTAGATATTGCTTTATTAGCGAATGGCTGGATCCATCGTCTGGCGTCCTCTGGAAGTATCAGCTGTTTTGGTACCCGGAAACAAAGGAAGTCGAGATGGTGAGAGGCGGACTTTGTTGAATGGCTGCGGGAGGAAGCAACTTATGAGTATTTTGTGATAACTTCGACGCAATCCTATGTCGCAAGTGCACATGTCATCCTATGGTTTGGCTTGCGCTTGGTGCGCGTGGCCTGTGTATTTATGAATCTTATGCCAATTTTATGTCGAGGTCCTTACTCAGCCAAAGTGTTAGGACGCAACTGTGCGCGGCCCAATGACATGTATTTTGTGAGCCCTCCAGGTGGATATTAAGAACCGGCGGCATTTCCTTAAGCGCACAAAGTATGAGGAGCTTAGGTCGTCGCTGCTGTACATTGGCAGCATGGTCACTATATTTGGCAGGTGAGGTGGGGTTCAAACCCTTCGTGCCGCCGCCGCCCTGCTCGTGGTCACATCGCAAATTCCGGGACAACTCGCGTGTGTCCTGGTGCGCAGGCAGTTGAAACTAACAGAGTATGGCGACGACTTCACCCGCAACTCCATTGAGAGCCAGACGGAAAGGTGGGCTCGGGAGAAAGCGCGCTGCTGATGGGGGTTGCCACGCGGTACCACACGCCCACAAGAGGCTGCATTCCTTAGGTCGCCTACACGCACTTCCTATACAGGTAGCAACATTGGCGGCTGGGTTGATAACAGCGACCCCCGCGGCAATCCATCGGCAATTGACTGTCCAGGGGCCGAACCATGTATTTATGGAGTGCACTTTCGGATTGGTTTGGGGGGGCAGCGCCCTATGGCCCTTAGAGGCCTGACCCAGCCTTTGTCTGTCGCTCATGCGCAGGACCCTGGCCATGATTAAGCCTGACGCGTACAAACACATGGGCAAGATTATAGACGCAATCTGCCAGAGCGGCTTCCTAATCAGGTGAGCAGCGCCTCGCTAACATATGGGCTATTGTGGGTCCTTAGGTCCTTTGCGGACAGACTCCAGCCAGCAGCCGGAGCAGAGACACATCTCACTCACTGCCCCTGGTGCATATATGATTCATATCTCCTTAACCCTATCATAATCACCACACCTCACCACCACCACCGTCACTACCGCTGGCCTGCAGATCAGCTGGTCACCTATAGGCGACAATCTCGTATTGTATTAGGTAGGGACGGTCCTCACCTGTCCTCATACGAGATTGTCGCCTATAGGTGACCAGACATTTTACGCAAGCCCCCACCGCGCCCGTGTTGAGTGTTACACACCGGTGGACGACCCGGGTGGAGGAGCAGCTGCTGCTGCTCCAACGCCGGTGTGTAACACTCAACACGGGTGCGGTGGGGGCTTGCGGCCTCTTGCACAACTTCGTCCCAACATGTCCACCAAATACACCGAGTTACGCGCATAGCAGCAGTCCCCCAGCTGGGATTTGGCACTTGTGCACTGTACATGGCAGCATTCGGCCCTTTTTTCGTATTCCAACCAAACCCCCTTTCAGCCGCGCCTTAATCCCTGACCGGCCCATCTTGCTGTCCAACCCACCTGATGGCATGCGCACAGCAAGCTGCGTGTGGCCAAGCTGTCCAAGGAGGAGGCGGAGGCCTTTTACGCGGTGCACCGGGGGAAGCCTTTTTACGAGCGGCTCACCGACTTCATGTCCAGCGGCCGCATCTGCGCGATGGAGCTTGTGGCCCCGGGGGCCATCCGCAAGTGGCGCGAGCTGCTGGGGCCGACGGACAGCAACCAGGTGCCCCGGGATTGTGGCTGGACGGCTGACAGGGAGCCGGCCGGTGGCGGTATAGTGGTGGTGGTGGTGGTGGTGGTGGTGCGGCCCGGCTGGCTCGGGGTCTGGGAGGGATCTTGTGCGCATCAGGAGGGTGGGGCTACGTTACATGGTTGGGTGCGGTGTGGACGCCGTGTGGATAAGAGCTTCATAGTGGGTGGGGGAAGATTGCGCGTGACTACAAGGCGGTTGGGGCTAGAATGGAAAAAAAGGGCGGCGCCAGGTGTTTCTGGCTCTTTGGCGAAGCATCACGTGACGTGAAAGTTGCCCTTCGCATGCGTGGCCGTCTCAATTACCGTCGCCGTGCCGCGTGAAGTGTGTAGCTAGAAGTCCCCCCGATTTTTTCTTCCGGTGAGTTGTGGCAAAGGAGCCGTGCTCCCAGGGGTTTGCATGCAACGAGCTCAGAAATAATTGGCGCTCGCATGGGGCTTTGCTGCCGCTGCACCTGCTGCTGCTGCTGCTGCTGCGAGGAGGGGAGTAATGGTCGGTCGCTCTCGTGGCCCTCCTTCCTGTACGGAAGGCCCACTCCTCTGAGGTGGTCGCTTCTTCTGGTGTTGCCAGTTGGCCAGTTGGGAGACGTTACCCGCGAGTCAGTTAGGGACGACAGGATGAGCCACAATATGGGCATTAGGAGGCCACAATATGGCACTCGCGCAAGGCGGGCCTTACTTGCACTGTTGCCAGGATGGACCTGGCACAAGGGGGACAACCTGCCAGGCAGCAGTAGCAGTAGCAACGTAGCACGTTCCGTATGGTGTGACAGAAGCTTTAACCCCCCCCCGTCGGCTGATTCCCCCTCCCGTCCCGTCGACCCTTTTCGTGAAAAGGCTCGCGCCGAGGCGCCCTCCTCCATACGCGCCCAATTCGGGACCGACAAGTCGTACAATGCCTGCCACGGCTCCGACGCGCCGGAGACGGCGGCTGAGGAGTGTGCGTTCTTCTTCGGGCGGGATCGCTACCCGGGCAAGTGCGATGTGGCCCGCAACACGACTCTGTGCCTGGTGAAGCCGCACGTGGTGGCGGATGGCGGCGCGGGGCTGGTGGTGGACATGATCCAGGACGTGTTTGACATCACCGCGGCGCAGCTGTTCACGCTGGACCGTAACGCTGCGGCGGAGGTGCGCTGCAGGGAGGGGCGTAGTGAGGCAGATGAGGGGCGGGGAGCTGGCTTGGCACTGGGTGTCAGAATGGGACTGGGGTTAAGGTGCCGCCTAAAGCTACAGGTGTTGGTGATGGGACTTGCGTTTCGCCGATAGCGAAAGGGCCACATTCCCTTTGTTTCGCTTGCTCCACAGTGCCAGCAAGGTCCTGGCCTGGGCCTGGGCCGGCTGTTGCAAGACGCGGTGTTGGTGGGAGACCAGCGAATTGTCGATTTGCTGGGTTGAACAGGTGCAACGGCTTGCAAGCTACCCATTACACAATGCCAGGGGAAGGACTTGAGCGGGATGACCTTAGCACGTCCCATATACTCCTACATCGTCAGGCCTACAAGCTTGCCCCCCACCTCACCCTTTCCACCTAGTCATTCCCTGGCTGCCTGTTTGTTGGTTGCGCCCTCCTTTACAACCGTTTAGTTCTACGAGGTGTACAAGGGCGTGCTGAACGCCGGCGAGTTCAACGCCATGGTGGACCACCTCACCAGCGGGCCGGTGCTGGCGCTGGAGGTGGCGGACCGAGACGGAGCAAGCAGTGTGGAGCCATTCCGGCAGCTGTCGGGTCCCATGGACCCCGAACTGGCCCGTGTGCTGCGGCCGGACTCGCTGCGGGCACGCTTTGGGCTCAACACGATCAAGAACGGCGTCCACTGCTCGGATCTGGAGGAGGACGGCGTGCTGGAGGTCAACTACTTCTTCACGATTCTGCCGCAATCTTAACCAGCAGAGGGTGTGCGGACCTCCAAAGCTCGGAACATGAATATGCGGTTATGAAGGGAGCATAATGTGGGGCCGGGTGGGGTAGATTAGGGAAAGTGCGACCGCTGGGGAGCCGGTGCTGTGGAGCGTGCTGGAGAGACCAAAAGGTTGGCACGTACATAGAACGCCAGGTATGCATATGTGGGTATGGCGGTGGGTGGCAATGGCCATGCGGATTGTGTGGGCTTGCGGCAAGTGCTGCCAGAAGGCCTGCAACCCTGCATCCACCTGCCGTATTGCTGTACAGTTCTTGCCGTCGTATCCCAGTCCTGGGTTCGTGCACTCAGGATTACATCCTGTAAAGAAAGCTTTTTCATATGACTGTGCGTAATCCATTTCGATCCGGCTCAAGTGAAAACCTTCGTTTGCGGCTAGGTGCTATCCTTCGACAAAAAAGTTCCGGACTCTTTTCTTTCTGGATATAATGTGCTCAGTTCTGGCGGTGAAGGCATTAAGGGTATCTTGTCTTCTAACAAACGCGACGACATCAGCAGCAGCTAACGTACTTCGCTACTATGGAAGTGACTCAACACTTGCAGATACAGTAACAACTAGCACCAGAAGTCTGGAAACGGAGCACCGATGTGGGGCCCCCATCGCGTTCGGCAGGTGTAGCTTGGGAGATGCATCAAATGCATTTAGCGTGCCACAGTTATGCGCAACGCCTAAAAAAAAGGTATTCTGAGCGGCGCTATCTTTATTTTGTTGCCCGTATAAGAAGCGTATGCGTGCCTGAAGCGCAGTTGACACTCTATCGTCGTGGGAATCGTCGTGTATGGTACTGGCTGAAGCGGAAGCACGAGTACGCGAAATGCACGTGAGTATAAAATTAAAGATTGGTACACGCGGTTTGCGTTGGTAACCGTATTTGTGTTGCGGACGCAACCCGGAGGAGATAGCTTGCCTTTTTCCTTATCAGGTTCTGTGGGGAGCTATCCGGGCGTAACCATATGTTCAGCGGCGCGGCTGGCAATTCACTTTGCACGGGACAGTGCGTGGAGGCACCCACCGAGACCGTCAAGTACCCGCCGGAGTACAGGCCACCGTGCTGAGCCGTGCCTGCGCAACCAGTCCCGAGTTGTATATGGTCACGAACGTTATAGGAGATGTGAAGCCTGATGTTACAGCATTAAACGGAAATGATGATTCGCGCGCGTTACCTGCGCGCGTCAGGACGCGCGCGGATATTTGGTTAGACGTACAGGACCATCCCCCTCAGCATTGGGACCTGATGCTGTCACGGAGATGGGAATAGACTGCGATGCAGCTGGCGCACTATCTTCCAGCGGGGCCCTGCCGGCAACGAGCGCTCACCAACAATGAAACAACCACTTTGGCATGGGCTCTGCATCAAAGTCCTGGACCATATCTCCTGGCGATTGTAATGCACATCGATTTTAGGGAGGGTCCCGATGCCTCTGTATCCTTCTCAAAGCCTTTTCCAACGCACCAATGCCTTATGGTTCCTGGAGGACCTTACCGTGCCGGAAACCGGCCAGCTACCATGTACGCAAAAACACTACTCGAGCTGCGCCACCACGTCCCCGGTCAACCGAGAGCCTGTCAATCCCCCCGATTGGCAACATTCGTGCACCAAATGACTTTGGCATACCTTTCCTATCTTTCCAATCATCCTGCGGTCAGAGCACTGTAAAATTAAAGTAGCACAGGGCCTCTGCCTGATGCAGCTGTACAGGACAACAGGTCCCAAACAAAGACACGTCGCCCTGCAAAAAGAATAAGTGCAGGAGACATGGGATGAAACAAAGATCCCTAACCCACATAGCAAGCACAGTCTCTTGCCGTATCTACGTGTGTAACGGATAACGGAATGCAGGTCGGCAAGTAAGCATAGATGACCCTATCTATCCCTAGCTTCATATTCCCACAGAACACGAAAAAGGGACGGCAGCGCCGTCCAACTCGCGCCTGGCACCACTCGTGCCTCCCGTGCTCCACCCCTTGCACTGTGCACTGGTGTACTGCGCTGCACTGTACGGCAGTGGGTCTGTCGGTCATGTCTCGCAATGGCTGTCCGCCGTCCTTTCGCGGCCGCTAGCTGCCCACCTGCCGCCGGCCTAACCGAACCCCTTAACCTCAGGGCAACAACCTCAGGGCAACCCGGAGGGGGAGGGCGTGGCCGCGGGGTTGCGCTGCACCCCGGGGCCGCTTTCACTCCACCAGTCACGTGACAGCTACTCAGGGCCACCCGCTGGAGGCGCCCATGATTGCGCACCGACAGTGTCGCAACTGTCCCATATGATCCTCTTCGCCCTGTCTGTCAGGACTGGCAGCCTAGCCGCCGAGCCCGGTCCCGTACCGCCGTCTCTGCTCGGCAAGACATTCGCAGGTTGCGCACACGCGAGGCCGCTACGGTATACATACATATATACATACATACATACATACACTGGAGCAGCCCTACGCCGCTGACGTTGAAGCCCCTCAAGGGGTGCAATTTCCGGGCACCGCTGCTCTGCACTCGCGAGCACGAGGGAGCCGGTTGCTGTTGTTCAGAGGGGTGTGTGTCGGTGTCGTGCATCTCCTCATCCTCATCCCGAGGTCGCCGGCTCAGGCAACGTTGCCCACACCACCTCCCCAAATGCGGTGTTAGGGGCCGCCGGGCCACCCCCGCCCCACCCACTGCCAACCCCGAACAACGCCGTGCAACCGCCCGCGTCTTCTTTCATAGCCTCAACCACGACGGCCATTTCCTTGACGCCATCATCCTCAGCCGTCTGCTGTGGCCCCGGTGTCGCGCCGTCGCCACTGCCGCTGGGTCCTGAAGCCCCGTGCAGACCCGTGGAGGGCGTTGGGGACGGTCGAGTGCAACCCTCCCCACCACCACCCGGGCCTCTGCTCCTCCCCATGTCGGTGTCCTCCCCCTCAGGTCCTTGCTCCAGCCTTGCAGACGCGGGAGTCCCCCCCCAGACACCACCACCTCCGGGCGGCAGATCATCATCGGAAGTCGACATCGCCGTCCCATCGTCAAGGCTGCCCAAGTCGGCGTCGGCGTCGCCGTCCGTTAACGAGCCCCCAGTTGCTGTTGCTGTTGCTGTTGCCACCCTCGCCGCCGCCGCCGCGACCGCTGATCCCGATACCGCCAACTCCCCAGACGCATGCGCGCCCTCGCCGCTACCCTCGTCTTCGCCTTCGCCCTCCTCGCCGCCGGGGCTGCCTAAATCCAGGCTGCTTAGCAGCACTGACACGCGCCGTACCTGCGTTGCACTTCCGCCGCCGCCACCGCCGCTGTGGACCGCGGCGCTGCCGCCGCCGGGTCCCGCCAGGTGTCTATGTCGCTTACTGAGCGGCGGGTGCAGCCCGAGAAGGCTGGAGCGTGCGGGCGTCTTGATGCCGGCGACTGGCCCCCCGGCAAGCGAATGGTACCGCGCGTCGTCGGAGGCTGTACCGCTGGCGCCACCGCCAGCATCACCGCCCGATGCTACGTCGGGCACTATGAGTGCCCCCGGTATAGCTAGGCTGCCAACCGGAAGCGCCGGTCTGGGCCCTGTCAGAGGGCGGCAGGGCAACAGCAGGTTGCCGGCAGCAGGTAGTTGACAAACATGGTGGCGCAGGTGGCCACGGGGGGGGGAGGGTGAGGCGACGAACAGCCATTACGATATACATGGCGCTTTAGATGATGTGCCTTTACACGACCTGCCTTTACGCTACACACAATCCAATAGCACGACCTAATCATGTTATATATAGCTCCTAATTAGGCTACTGGCCGCTTGGCGAGCTCACCTGCGGGTCCCATCATAGCGGACGAGGCTTGTCGCTTGCTGGGATTGCCGCTACGGCGGCGTGGGCCGCACGGAGGGCGTTCTACCTTCCGCTTGCGGCCCGGGGCACCACCAGGGAGCGAGGACGGCGGTGGCGGCGGCAGCAGCAGCATGGGCCCGCCGCCAGCTGCGGCGGCAGCGGCTGATGGAGCCCCGCAGTCGTCGTCGCCGCCACCGGCACCGCCACCGCCGCCATTGGCGATTGGCGCCAGCTGCAGCGCAACTGGCGGGCTCACCGCGCGCAGAGACGGAGTTAGAGTCCCGGATGGGCCCGGCTGTGGCTTGATGGCGGCAGCCGGGGATGCAAGTCCCGCCACTGCCGCCGCCGCGGCGCTGCTCGACACGCCGGCCGCTATCTGCGCGGGAGGCGCATCCGCTGCGGGCAACGGGACGGTGGCCACGGAGGCGGCAGCCGGGGCGCTTCCATTCAACGGAACACATGCCAGTGGCATGTGGCGTGGCGCGACGGCGCCGGGGGCTCCGCCGCCAGCACACACTCCGCCACCGCAGGCCACTGATGCCGCCGTTGGCGTCGGCAGCGGCGAATATGACCGCACGCAACCGGTGACGGCACCGCTGCCGCTGCTGCCACAACCGCCGACCCCGCCAATACCGCCGCAATAGTCGCCTCCGCCGAGGTGCAGGTCGCGTATGCCTTCGCTGACGCGGCCGCCGGCCGTACTGTCCCCACTCGGCCCCGTCAGTGCCAGTCGCCGTACCCTTCTGCTAATGCCGTCGCCGCCGCTGCGGCCGCCCTCATGTGCCTCCCCTTCCTCCTCCTCCCCCTCCTCCTCCCCGCTGCTGTACCCGTCCGCCTCCGCCACAGTGCGCGACTCGCACGGCATGCCGGTGTGGATCCCCGCCCTCTCCCCCCCAAGCCCGGGTGACCCCACCCCGCCTGGCCTCCCACCCGCGGGCCGAGGGCCCCCGGAAACCCCGCCGCCGCCGCCGCCGCTCCGTGTGGGCGGGACAGTGACGGGATGATGTGCCTGCAGCGGCGCCAGCTGTAACTCCACCGCGGCGCCGCCGCCGCCGATCCCGGTTGCCGCCGCCGCCGCCGCCGTCGCCGCAGCAGCAGCATTAGCAGCAGTAGACCCCCCCAGTAGTCCCTCCGCCAGTACGTCGGACTGGCTGCGCACCAGTCCCAGTCCCGGGGCCCCCAGGTCTCCCCCCGGGAGGACGGGGCCGCCGAGGCGGAGGCGGGTCCGAAGGTCCATGCCCAGGTCAGCAGGTCCTGGAGCGGTAGGGCCCTCCTGCTGTACGGCGGATCCATGCCGCTGGGGCCGCTGTGTAGACGAGTGCTGACCTGTCTGACCGAGGCTGTGCAAACCCTGCTGGTGCTGGTGCTGGGGTTGGGCTTGGAAGGGGCGGAGGCGCTGGAAGAGGTCCTCGGCGCCCGCTGACGCCAGCAGTTGGTCCGACAGCGTGCTGCTGCGCACCAGACGGCGCTGATGGAGCGTGGTGGTGGTGATGGCGGCGGTAGTGGGTGCGGCAGCAGCAGCAGTACCAGTAGCAGCGACGGCGGGCCGCCGTATAGCGGCCTTCAGAACGCCCTTCCAGGCGGTGATGAGGCGTCTGATGGAGAAGGGAGGAGGAGGTAGCGGGCCGGGGTGCGGGTGCGGGTGCGGGTGTGCAGCAGCATCACAGGGGCCTTCCTGGGCCACATGAGGTCCTACCTCGGACGACAACGACGACAACGACCACGACGTAAGTATGTATGTATGCATGCATGTGCATGTGCTCGCACATACAGCCGCATCGCAATCCGCCATCATCCTTGCCACTCTTGCTAAAGCCGTTGACTGACTGGCTGCTCCTAACCCCCCTTTCCTCCTGCAAAACCCTCTCCTCTCCCCCAAACCCTCTCACAGCCCCTTAGCCTCTTCAGGAACCTGGCGTAATCCCCCCTCCTCCTCCTCCTCCTCCTCCTCCTCGGTGCACAGACAGCCCTCGGTGCAAATACCCACATCACAACAGCCCTCGCACTCCCCCCCTTTTTCCTTCCCACCCCACCCCACCCCACCACACCACACAGTACCTGGCCGCCGCCGCCACCTCCGCATTGCAATTGTGCTGCAGCGGCGACACCATCGCCGCTACCTGCGAGTCCGCCAGCAGCTGGGGCGACACCGGCAGCGCCGCCATCAGCGACAAGATCAGTCCCACCGCCCCGGGGCTCTGACTCTGAACGGCTCGCCGCAGGGAGCACTTGAGCTTCAACACCTCCTCCAGGGCGCCATTACCCAGGGCAGCTAGTGAGTGTGAGGCGTGTGGAGGGTGGGATGGCGGGGGCTGTGTGGCGGTGGTGGTGGTGGTGGTAAGCTGGTTGGCGGCTGATGGCGGCGGCGGGTGCGGCGCGGAGTGGTGGGCGGAGTCCGCGGGTTGCAATGTCAGAGCGGCGGTCGCGGAGGCGAGGAGGCTGGCGGGGTTGAGGCCGGCGGTGGGGTTGTGCTGGGCGGAGGGTGGGGGTGGCGGTGGCGGCCCCAGCTGGGCCCATGGGGGCGAGGTGAGGCCGGGTAGGGGTCGGCACCACCTCGCTGTGCGACCTGTTCAGGATGGGTTGAGGATGGGGGGCCGTACGTCACAAACCCTCTGTGCAGTGGTGGTGGTGGTGGTGGTGGTGGGGCCTTTTCGGGCAGTGCACCCCCCACCCCAACCCACCCCACCCCCTCGCTGGAGAGGCACACTCCCTGATGGAGTGGCAGCGGCCCTAACTCGCGCATGGGGATGTAGCCCGTGCGGAACGTACGGCGGCGTACTGCACAGACACAACGACCAGTAACCGCCGCCGCTGGACAAGCCTCCGCCAGAGAGGATCATGTTTAAACATGGGGACAGAAACGTGAGAAGCGGCGGGGCGGAGTCGTACAGTGCAGCCGTACAGTGCGGGTACCTGGGGACTTCACGTATCCCGTCATGTGGGCCGGGCATTAGCCAAATCCGGGTCATCATCTGTTCGTCTGTTGTGCCAGATGCGGAGGTGTGTATGTGCACTCCCCCGGTGCGCTGCGGGACCGAGGCCGCGTGAAGGAAGGGATGGATACTTCCTGCCATGGCAGGCCCTGCCCCGTCCCGCCCCGGGGGCAAACCGCATTTCAGAGTCGGCTCACGAGTCAGGGTCTCTTAGCCCGCACCCCACCCCACCCTAGCCCCACCTGCGATCCGAAGCACTTGCCGCTCCTCCCGCGAGCCCGCTCCGCCCTCGTCCTCGTTGTCCGCCTCGAACCCATCCTCTCCCTCCGCCTCCGCCTCCTCAGCAGCAGCTCCCCCACTGGACCCCGCCGCCCTCAGCAGTCCACCCCCACCCCCACCCCCACCCTCCCCCGGACCGCCCATAACCCCTCCCCGAGCTAACCTCGCCCAGCCGCCCAGTGACACCTCCGCCCTACCCACATCCGGCAGGTCCCCACCCCCACCCCCACCTAAACCTCCACTGTCAACCACCCGCAAGGAC